ATATTTTTTTTCCTGTGTCTGGATGGTTTCACCTAGCATAATGCCTTCCAGATTTACCTGTGTTGTCACAAATGTCAGTATCTCCTCTTTTTTTTTTTTAAGGCTGAATAATATTCCAGTGTGTGTGTGTGTGTGTATGTGTGTGTGTGTGTTAAACATTCTTTTTCCATTCACATTTTGATAGACAGTTTGATTGTTTCCATATCTTACTTATTGTGAATAGTGCTACAATCAGCATGTGAGTGCAGATAACTCTTTAAGGTACTGACATTCATTCCCTTTGTGTATAATCTTACAAGAGTGATTTCTGCATCATATGTTAGTTCTGTCCTAATTTTATGAGGTATCTTCATATTATTTTCCATAAAATCCAAACCAATTTACATCCACCCAGTGGCTAGTGTTCCCTTCTATCATTTTAATGATGCTCATCCTGACATCTCTAAGGTGACACCTCATTGTGGATTTGATTTGCGTTTCTCTAAGGAGTGATGCTGAACATTCTTTTACATACCTGTTTGGCCTGCTATTAAATCTTCTTGGGAAAAATATCTTTTCAGGTCCTCTGCTCATTTTTATCAGATTGTTTTTGCTTATTACTATTGAGTTGTACGAGTTCCTTATACATTTTGTATACTAACCATTTATTGGATATGTGGTTTGCAAATATTTTCTCCCATTCTGTGGGTTGCCTTTTCATTTTGTTAATTGTTGCCTTTGAAGGGCAATTTGATGTAGTCCCACTAGTTTATTTTTGGTTTTGTTGTTTGAGCTTTTGGTATTATATCCAAAAAAAAAAAAAAAAAAAAACCCAATGCCAAGGCCAATATCAAAAGGCCTGCTTGCTGAGTCTTTTTCTCTGGAAGTTTTATGATTCAGATCTTCAGTTTAGCCATCCATTTTGAGTTGATTTTTGTGTATGGTATAAAATAAATGTTGAATTTTTTTTTTCTGGATATCCAGTTTTCCCAAAACCATTTATTGAAGAGATTATTCTTTTAGTGTAAGGGTAGAAATTTTTTTCTTGTTTTAACCAAAAGAGGAATTTTCAACTCTTTCTTTAAATCTGGCAAAGAATTCGCAAAGCACAACATCCAGCACCTTCATTTATTTGACAATATTTATTGATATTCTTTTATGTTCTGAATATTATCAAACCTACTGGTTCAAATACAGAACCAGTAGCTTGAATAATATTAGTATTTTAAATGAAGTTTGTTACTGACTCATGCTGTTTTGAAAGGAAAACAAGGAAGATATTTTGAAGCTAGAGCTAGCAGTGGTGGTGGTATGGAGCGGACAGTGCCAGGGGGAAGGTTGGAATGTCTCCCCAGTCATATGGAATACAAAAAGAAGTCATTCTTGTGTGTCAAAGTTCCCAACTTAAGAAAAATTCCTCAAGTATCATTTTATTTTTCACGATAAAAATTATATTTGAGAGTGCATGTAGAAGAGAGAAAATCTAATCAATTTAATAGTTCTCTCTTTGGCACAGTAGCTATGTCATACGATAATGACATTTATGTCCAGGCTCTCCCTGGCTCCAGGAAATCAGTGAATGAACCTCTTTCTCTCCTAAGAATTTGAGTTATGTGCTGGTATCACCCTAGGATTCATCCTTCAGTGTGTATTAAATGACTACTGAGCAGATTTTTGCACTAGATACCATGCAAGATCCTAGGGTATTAGGATCTTTTTTTTTATTGTGTTAAATTATACATACAATAAAATGTACTGCTTCAATCCTTTTATATGTTCAGTAATTCTGTAGCGTTCACATTGCTGTGCAAGCTGTCACTCTTTTTTTTTTTTTCTTTTTTGGATTTGGATCAACATCTCTGTTCCAATACCTGCTTTTTCTTAAAGGGTGACAACAGATAATCGACATGATTAAACACACATGTGCAATGTGCCCACTTCTTGTTCATCATTATCATGAAAAATAAAATGATACTTGAGGAATTTTTCTGAAGTTGGGAACTATGACACACAAGCCTGACTTCATGTGCACTATTTTAGCCACCCCTTGATACACAATAGTTCATATGCACACCCAGCCACACTTACAGCCAGCCATGCACACACCCAGTCACATATTCAGCCAGCCATGCACATACCCAGCCATACATACACCCAGACACACACACCAAGTCACACACACAGCCAGCCACGCACACACCCAACCACATATACAGCCAGCCATCTGCACACCCAGACACATACACACAGACACAGACACTCTTCCAGCCAGCCACACATACACACAGACACACTTACACCCAGACACTCAGAGTGATAAATCACTGTCCTTCCCACCCTCCTAGTATTTTTTCCTCTTACTTTTAGAAAGATATTTTTTGAACTCTCTTTTCCTTCTCTCTCTTCTATTGCACTTTTTACTTTTAATCTCTCCTGCTTTTTCTTTAAATTTTTGGAGGAAATTTAAAAATAGTATTTTAAAAAAGACTATTCACGAATAGTGCTTCAAATTTTCTTGGTTTCATGGCATCCTTAGCACCCTGGTGATTATTTTCATGGAACTCTGAGTTAAAATGTGTACCTCACAGATCCAGTAAATTAACATTAATGGGTATTTGTGTCCTAATAACTTAATGGCCCTTTGGAAAAAAATATACATAAGAATTGAAAGCAGAACTACCTTTATTTTATTCTTAGAAACCCACAATTACTTACTACAGGGACTATGTGCCTGTTAGATACTGCCAAGTCCTGAAAGCTTATAGTCACCTTATACACTGTCATCCTTATTATTCCACGTTGGTCTTCATGCAGCATTGGCATTTATATTCAAACATCATCAAAATCCAACTTTGCAGGGCTGTGATGTCATTGAAAGAAAAACAGCATGATCTAATATGCAAATTGCAAAGGGCTTCAAGTTAGTATTTTGTGTAGGACCAAATGGATGTTGTTGTTTTATTGGCTTTATTTTGAGTGGGGAATAAAACATACTGAAAATATTTCAGCAGTGCCTGTGAATTTACTGTCATACTGTGGGGCACCATGACACAGTTGGGGAACTGCTGGCTTTATAGCAAAAGAATTACATTTGAGTTAAAGTAAAATAATGCCAAGTGTTTGAAATGGAGGTAGATGTACCAAAAGTATTAATATTCAAAGACCCCATAATGCCTCTAGATGCTGTTTTTAAAAAGTTTGTATGGATGGATTAATCTATCATTTCATTCTTGTAAGAAAAATTTTAGTTTTCTTTTTTTTTTTTAATTTTTTATTGTGGGTTGTTCAAAACATTACAAATTTCTTGACATATCATATTCCACACTTTGATTCAAGTGGGTTATGAACTCCCACCTTCACCCCATACACAGATTGCAGAATCACATCAGTTACACATCCATTGATTTACAAATTGCCATACTAGTGTCTGTTGTGCTCCGCTGCCTTTCCCATCCTCCCCCCTCCCCCCTCCCGTTTTCTTAAGCACGTGCCTATAGGATGAAAAATTAACTATTTTGTATTCAATTGCATTTTTATCATTGCTTACTGGTGTTTTCTATGTTGTTTCATATTATTCTTTTCCTTAGATAATTACTGTTTTAGGTTAATTTAGTTTTTGTACTTGTCCTAAGAGTCTAACAATGCAAGATTTCTGATGTAGAAGAACGTACTAACTTCTAATAATGACAAACATCCTTCTAGAACCTAGCTTGATTTTAGTAGGAGACCTGCTAGAGATGCTTTGTGAAGCAAGCCAAGAATCACTCTGTCGTTCTGAGATTTCGTTGTTATCTGTCCAAAAGGCAGGCTGGCTTTTGGTATAGACACTTTGGTTTGTTTTTGTCTGGGTTTTACCCTCTTGGTTACTTTTCTTGTATGATGTGCTATCCCACATATTGACTCCTCAGCAGATTTTAATGGCAAGGTTGGGATAAGAGACCAAAGGGAAGATTGATAAATTGCCAATGGAATTGTCTTGTTTGACCTTTGCTACCCTTAGACTGATGGATCATCTTGAGCTTAAAATCCACAAACTCCCTGCGGGCATTAAATCACATTAAGGATCTGTCTTAATCTGTTTGGGCTGTTATAACAAACATACCAAAGACAGAGTGGCTGATAAACAACATAAATTTATTTCTCACAGTTCTGGAGGCTGGTTAGCCCAAGGTCATCAATTCAATGTCTGATGAGGGCTTGCTTTCTTATAGATGCCTGTTGTTTTGCTATCCTCACGCAGGGGTAGGGTGAAGGGCACCAATCACAAACTTCTATAATTCTGAATTTCCCTCTTCTAAGGTACTAATCTCTTCTGAAAGGTTCTGCCTCCAATACTTTAGGAATTAGGATTTCAACATATGAATTGGCGGGAGGGGACAGAATATTCAGTGTATGGGAGGATCCAAATGTATCAGTTTTATATATTTAATTAAACATCTTTTAAGAGAAATGATAACACATTAGGAACAGAATGTATTAGCAATTCTTTCTGCTTGAGAGCTTTAGAATACAAACATAAGCATCAGGTATGGTGAAGCACACCTGCCATTCCAAAAACTCCAGAGGTTGAGGCAGGAGGATCTCAAGTTCAAGGTCAGTCTTGGCAACTAAGCTAGTCTTTGTCTCAAAATGAAACGTTAGAAGGGCTGAATATGTAACTCAGTGGTAGAGCATGACTGGGTTCAGTCCCCGATACTGGGGGTGGTGGTTTTAAGAAAGAGAAGAAAAATAATACAATCATAAGAATTCTTTGAATGTATAGAAACTGCTAAATATAAAAACAGAACCAAATTTTAGCATTTAATATGTTTTTTTAAGTGAAATCTAGAAAATAATTTCAAGTTTAAAGTGTTATTATTATATAAACCCAGTATGTTATAAATGGATGTGTTTCAACCAGTGCATTTTACAAAATGAGGAATAGGTCACTAGCTCCCCTGATTTTACCTTACTCCTTAGGTAGAAAAGGCTGAATTGTTCTACTGATCTAATTTAGTTGGTGTTTTCTCTTTTCCTTTCAGATTTTATTGTTCTGATATCATCAACCTATCTTCTGACTGCTGGCTAGAATTAAGGTCAGTACTATATTTATATTGATCATGAATAAACTGTGAAATACAGTAAAAGCATCTTGGGTCTTTAGATTGCTAGATTGAAAATATTCTTCTAAAGTGTGGCGAAAAGTTGAAATTGAGTAGAAATTGGATACACTTCAGACTTGGCTCTGGAGCAAGCATGGTCCTTCCTGATCAGTGTTTGTTTTCAGTTAGTACAATTTCTTAGGTTATTGAAGATTAGACTTCTTTCACTGTAATAGCAGAGTTTTGATTTTATAAAAAGATCCAATTTAATCATTTATTTTATTAACTGGAATACCAAAAGAATGCTTTTTTTGGAAGGGTGACTAACAATTTAAAACATGGTCCACTCTGAATTTACAGGGGAATACTTTTCATTCCACAATTTAGGACCCACAGAGAATGCATTACCTAAGAAAAGTGGAGTTGAAATGCACTTATGAATCACAAATTTCAATTAATTAGCAGACTATTAAGATGTCATGGCTTTTGTTCTGTTTACTCATTAATTGGCTTTTATGGAAGACTCAAAACAAGCTTAACTGAGTTTAGAGTAATAACAGAGCCTTGGCAGGCTCTCCTATCAATAGGCTTGGGATTTCATTTATCTCTTCTATTCTGTTCTCTAGAACATTTATTCGGATTTTAAAATAAAATTAAAAGCTAAACCCTGAAAGAAATGAGGACTTTGTTGCTCAGAAAAAGAGTAAAATGCTAGGCGTTGCTAAACTTTTTGTGTAGGATTTTCATTAATGATTAACATAAAGGGTAACACTGGTTTTTCATTTATGCTTACTAATCAGGAATTTTCCCCTTAAAGTCCGTATTTAACTCTTCAAACTGCAGTGCTAACATAGAGCAGGCACAAAGGAAACATGTACTTTTTCTAGCCACAATTCTGGCAATACATTTTAAGTGCTTGTTTCTGTGCATGCCCCCCCCCCCCAAACACACTAAGATAAAAAAGACTACTATTATTCCTCTTTTATATACAAACTGTGTTTTTCTATCTTTGAATCTGTATGGAATTATGTAAATATAACATGTTGGAATCATGCTGATGGATAATTGGCAGCCTAATTTTAAAAAAGTAAAATTTCTACACGGTATGATTTAAAGTCTGTTGTATTGTTTTAAGTGTTGATATGGTTTTGAGTTGAATTTATTAAAAATGCTTAGCCCAGCTTCCTTTGTTATTCTCTCCTTAGGGTATTCTATGTCAACTTGTGTACATTTAAACTTGCAATTGCTTTTAAGACCTCTTAGACTTTTTCTACCCTTTTTTCCCTATGAGCCCCTATTCCATTCACTTGCCAAACAGAAATTAGAAGTAGATGAGGTTTTTGAAAACCATACATATTTGAATCAGGAATATTTTCAATGCAGAGGGTTAAGTTCGAATTGTCAATTTTCACTTTGATAAGAAGTCAACTCTTCCCTTTTCTTCTTGAATTAGAAGGAAATGCTTCCTTTTCTGATTTTTGTTTTCCCATAGATGTAGTCAACATAGTGATTAGAAATCTCACTCTGCTCTGGCCACTTTTCAAAAAGAAAAAAAGAAAAGAAAAAAGACATAAGATTTTTAAAATAAAAAGCAGTGTTGCACAAAATCTGCCTTAACCTGTCCAGTTTCTTTTGTGGGAATATGAACATAGAGTGTGACTGGTCAAAATGTGAAAGGTCAGAATAATTTACATATTCTCAAATAAATATGCTAATTATATACATAATATACACAAAGAAATGGAAGCATATTTAAACATTTATTATCAGGTCTTTCCAGCTAAGTAAAAAGATGGTTAGAATATTTGATCATATTTCGTAAAATCATATTTCGTAAAAACTGCTATATTTAGCAAGCCTTTTAAAAATATATCAACTCATCAAATGGAAAGATTTTCAAAACACATTATATCTTTTGAAAATGCCAATACCTCAACTAGAGCTAGTTTTCTTGGTTTAAGAAAAAAGAGTTTCCCTCATAGAAAAAAAGTTTCTTTGTAATAATATTAGTTGGGCAAAATGACTATTATTGCTAGAAATAGGACATCTAAAAGGCCATTACAGTACTTTATGAATTCTGAGATGTATAATTTTTTTACATTAAAGTAAAATTGGATGATTCTGTAGTTTGGTTGGCAGCTTTTACTTTCTTTCTTGGTGGTAAATGATGTGTGTCTTATAATGGGTTGTGTCTTAAAAATCTATAAAATGCAATTTACTGACTCTGGACTAGAAAAAAAATTAAAACTTTTAAAAATATTATAAAAAGGAATCAGAGTCTACTTCTACAAATTGATAATACATATTGCAATGTTGGTATCGAATATAAACAAATTAGTAGAAATGTTATTTATAATAGGAAGATGCTAGAAAGAGTTTTGATTGTTTAATAATAGGTAAATGGTGAAGTAAATCATGGAATATCCATAGGTTAATGTAAATATAACATATTGGAATCATGCTGATGCAACCATTAAAAATCACCTTTCCATGAACTAGAAGTTACAGGATGCAAAGTCTCATTTCAAAAAATAAAGCATGACAGAAACTAGAAACTAAGAAGGTAAACTTGCCACTAACTTTTTTTTGGGGGGGCATGGTACTGGGGATTGAAGCCAGGGGCACTCATCCACTAAGCCACATCCCCAACCCTATTTTGTATTTTATTTAGAGACAGGGTCTCAGTGAGTTGCTTAGCACCTTGCTTTTACTGAGGCTGACTTTGAATTAGTAGTCCTCCTGCCTCAGCCCCCAAGCCTCTGTGATTACAGGCATGCACCACCACCTCTGGCATTTGCCATTGATTCTTTTTTTTTTTTAATTATAAATGGACACAATATCTTTATTTTGTTTATTTTTATGTAGTGTTGAGGATCGAACTCAGTACCTCACATGTGTGAGGCAAAGCGAGCTCTTCCCCAGCCCGCCACTGATTCTTAATAACATTTTAAATGATAGTTTTTGCTTTTTAAAAAATGTTCACTTTTTTTCTGATTTATTTACTTTTCTTTATCATTAGCACTGTCACCAGAACTTTGGTGTAAAACCTTCCAGTTTTTGTCATGCTTTGTTGTTTGAAATCAGACTTTGTATCCTGTAACTTCCAGTTCATTGAAAGGTGATTTTTAGTGGTTGAGGACTGTTTTATCCTATGGATATTGCATGATTTACTTCACCATTTACCTATTATTAAACAATCAAGACTCTTTCTAGCATCTTCCTATTATGAATAGCACTTCTACTAATTTGTTTATGTTCACTACCAGCATTGCATGTAGTATCAATTTGCAGAAGTATAATTATATAATCTGAGGAAACTAATATATTTGAAGTGACAAACAGATACATTGTGTGTGTTCCCTGGAGTCCTTACCAGTGCCTGGTAACATATGAAGTGAGAGTTTCACAATTCCAGTGCCATGTTAGAATTAGAACTTTAAATTTTCCTCTCAATTTGGTAGGCAAATAATGATTTCTCATTTTTTTATGATTTAATATAAAATAGGAAACAGATACTTATGAAGGAATAGCCATGGGTCATTAAAAATATCAGTCTAAACAACATATTTTCCTTTTTAGATAGAATTACTAGGTGATGTTAATTCCGCTGACTCTCTCACTCTCAGCCTGGGAAGACTGTTAAATCTTACGCTATTGAAGCAAGAATCAAAAACAGAATGATTTTCACTGTTAGAAAAATAGAAGTTGGTGTTAATTACATTAAATCTGGTTTTCTTGAGAAAGAGGTTGAGAGCCTGAGGAACGGAATAAGGGTAGCAGCTTTAACAGAGTCCTCAAGTTTACTTATAGCTGAAATGTTGCTCAGCAAGTGATTTAAGGTACAACAGCTTTTTTGCAAGTGTTTGGATGTTGTGATAAGCACTCAGATATTGCACAAATCTGAAGGAAATGATGGGCCACATAAGTCTTACCTGGTGCTTAGATTTTATGAATTTTGACTGCAATGTTTTAAAAATATTTAGAATATTTTTCTAAATTGATGCCTAGTGTCTTTTAACTTTGCAAAACGAAAAGTTAAAAAGAAAATATTACTGCTGCCTTATCTGTGATTCTTCTTCATCCTATAAATGATCATTTTTCCTTTATCCTTTCCTAATGTAATTAGGAGGTAGCATATATATTCTATTAAGACACAACCTCCAGCCCCACACTACCTCACCCTGAAAGAGCCATACTAACTTGGGGTAGACACCGAGTGCTGAGGACTGTATTTCTTTCCACGGGATTTTTGTCGCTAAGAAGACTTCTCTGTCTTTTCAATTTCTTTTTACTATATATTACAGTGCTCCTGGTGGTCTTGATTGAAGCACATATGTTTGAAATTAGATGAATTTATGGTTTCTTGGTGCTTTGAATCCTTGAAAAGATGATTTCCTATGATCAAATCAATAATAACTACCTAAAATTGTTAATCAAAGGCCTGAGTTGGATTCCATGTTCCAAAATATTCTGGATCTCATGCTTCTTTTCTGCCTGGATCTGGCCTCTGGTAGTTCCAGTTTGTGTTCCTATCATGACCTCTGACAGGGCTTCTCAACTGAGCTGCTGGCAATGCCCTCTGATTTTATTATGTATAAAACAAGAACATTAACTTATACTTAATTTGAAGATTAAGTGAGAAAATGTATTACTGTGGATCTTAAAAATGGAAGCTTTCAATCCTTTCTCCACTTTAAAAAAAATTTTATTTTGCAGCCCTGGGGATTGAACTCAGGGCCTCACATGTATCAGGCAAGTTCTCTGCCACTGTGCTACATCCCTAGCCCCTCAATCTACTTTTAAAATCTCCATTGAAGGCTTTTTCTTTTCCTTAATTTTATATGAGTAATAAATTCTGGGGTTTGTCTTAAGAAAGGAAATAACATTAATGAGGTTCTCGAAATATTGTTATCAAACTTGCAAAGACATACCTGAAAATAACAGATTTTAAACTAATTAGAAAGTAATTTCTCTGTGTTCTGTTGGATATTATA